CAACCTACAGGCAGCTCTGAGGCCCCTGGTCCCTGCCCAGCACCCCCTTCCTCCCTTCTCAGTACCCTGCCGGCAGCCCAAGGAAATGTGGACCAATGACCCCTGCCCCACGGCAGCGAGGTGGGGCATCCTGGTCAAAGGCAGAGCTCAGGCTTCGGCCATCTGCCACCAAGTCTTCCACATGAATGGTGACAAAAACGCCGGATGTTGATTTATCTTTTCACAGTGCCTAGGTCATCTGAGCACTAAAATCCTCCCCTGGAGGTCACAAGGGCCTAAATTATTATCCCCGCTAGACAGAAGCGAAAACGGAGCCAGTGAGGGGAAGTAATCTCCCAGAGCCCCCGGAACACGAGGGCTGGTTGGGCTGGCTGGCTGTCTCAGGTGTGTCATCTCTCCAGTCCAGTCCTGCCCTCCAGGATTGGGGCCGGGGCTGGCCGGAGCTCTGTGCAACCAGACTTCACCTGTTGGGCCTTAGAGAGCAGAGCCCTGGTCCTGGCTGACTCAGGCCCCACCTTAGGGAGAGGCAGGGATGGTGGTGGGCCACTTCTGGGACATGGGGGATGCTGTGGCAAGCCCCAGCCTGAGGACAGAGGGACCAGAGGTTCTGGGGCCAGAACCTGGGGCCAAATGGGGCCGGCCACATGCTATGGCCATGCCCCTGATCCCCCAAACCCACTTGAAAAACGGGACAGCAAGCTCCACACTGGGAGCGAGAGGGAGTGAGTGCAGGGGACTAATTCACTGCCACACTCTCATCAGGGCAGGAGATGACAGAAGCGCTATCTTCCTATCTTTCCAGGAGCATCTGGACAAAGAAGAGGCTGGGTCATGAGGCCAGGACTGCTTCAGGAATTACATCACAGGAGCCAAAGTTCATTTAGGGCAGTTTCCCTCTGTGGCTGGGGGCCCGGGGAGCAAAGGGTTCTGGGGAGACGGGGCAACAAAAGCCTGGAACTCTGTCCCGAGAAGAAAGCATGACCACGGGCAGGGGCCAGCGAGGAGCCGGGAGGCCTGGCCAGAGAGGTGCCAGGAAACCCCAGAGCCTGTGGCTGGGAGAGCGGGGTGGGGTGCCGCCCACAAACGCAGAGGGCAGGGAGGCAGCGTGCCTGTCCACTCGCAGCCGAGGCCCTCGGGCGGTGTCCTGCAGGGAGACAGGCTGCATCAATGCATCCGCACTCCTGGCTCTGCCAAGGGGCGGCAGGGAGAATGGCCGGTCTGTGGCCAGGGCTAGTGACCCTCCCACCATTAAAGTGAGGTGACCTCACAGCCTTCTTGGGAGGGCTCTCGGTAACTTGACCATTCCATTAGTCGCTCCTGGCTTCCTTGCCTTGCCCAGGCATCCCTGTTCCCTCGGAGATGCAGAGAGCCTCCTGGGAGGTGGCAGGGCAGAGACAGGCTCAGAGGGAGAAAGGGTGCAGACTGCCTCGGATTCCTCTCCACCAAGCCCACGGAGCCTTCTCTGAGGAACAGTGTCACCTGGGGGCCAACTCCTCTGCTGATCTTGGGAAGATCTGCTTCCTTTCTCCTGCTTCCTCAGGTCAGGCAAGGGAAGTTCAGGTTTCCCCTTCTTAACGAGATGCTTTTGCCCGTAAATTCAGCTGAACACCCAGGCTGAGTGAGTAGGCTTTTTGGCTACCTGGAAGGGAGGCCAAGATAGAGCTGGCAAAGACTGTCGGGACCTGCTCCTGCGGGACTTGCTCCTGAGATTTTGCTGGGAATTTCCATCTGCAGAGAGCACGGCTTTTTCTTTCTGCCTCTGGCAGCCTCCTGAAGCGAGCTGGCCATCTGTGAGCCCCGCGGAGGAGGCAGCCCGCAGGGCCAGGGCAGTGGTGGGGCAAGGCTAAGCCGCTGTCTTCGTCCCGCCTGCTGGGTGGGAAAGCCTGAGCTGAGCCCAGGATGGGGCGTGACCATGGAAATGCCTCCCATCCCCGCCAGGGCAGGGGGGCAGCAGGACGGGGAGAGCAGAGAACCCGCTTCTGGGCCAAAGTTCATTTTCTTAGAAACGCCTGAACCCTGCCTCCTAAGAGCAGTAGCCAACACTCCCCGAGGCTTTCTCTGGCCTGTCCCCACATCTCCTGTCCCATGCGCATGGCCCCAGGGAGAGGCTGTGAGGCTGGCCTCCCGGTGTTTGATGATCCTGCCCTCAGGACTGTAAGGCTGAAGCCGGCACCCACATGGCTCACCGAGGGATCCAGAGCTCTCCCAGCCCAGGCTGTGGGTGGCTGTGCCCTCAGGGGAGGGGCGCCTCTCCTCTCCTTGCACCGATCAGGGGCTGACGTCCTCATGGAACCACGGTGGTGTGGCAAGGCCAGGATGTCCTCCTTGGGAACCTGCCTTGGCAACGACTGCACTGGGTGGGGGAGGCAGATACCAGTTCCCCTCCATGTTCCTTTCTCCGGATAATTCTCCGAGGATGCGCCAACCTCCAGAGTTCATAAAGGCTGAGACAACGGATGTGTCTCTCCCATTCTCTACTATTTTTACAATGAAACCCTTACATAAAGGCCAAGTTGACTTCCACCGCCAGACAGTGGCTCCCCTCATGTTGTGCCATGGTGAAAAAGATCCCAAGGTCACACCTGTGCTCAGTGAGAAAAAAGTGCTGTGATTGATTAGCAATGTCTGTCCTGGGTGAGGGACTGGAGAGCAAGGGCGTACATGCTGTTTTGCCTTCTCTGACATTACACGGCAGACCTCTGGAAGCACTGTCACATGCGTCACCTCCTGTGATTAGCCCTGGTCTAGGAACGACGAAGATTATTATTCATCTGCTGAAGGAGACATCAGGAACGTGGAAGTTACGTGTGTCTTCTCCTAAATCACCTGAGTGAATGAGAGCCAGAGCCAGGATGAGATCCCAGGTGTCCTGAGGCTGAAGCCGGCCCAGGGAAGACACTTACATCAGGGAATGCTGGAGATCAACATGCCAAAGTGTTCCTGTGTCTTTGGGGAAAGAGTGCTTCGTGAATCTTCTCCAGGCTTGAAATCTGCCGTTCTTCATGCGTATGTGTAGGCTGCTGGCAGAACAGAGCCTGTGGAAAGCGAACGGGCTGCCCACGCCACAGCCGACTGCCCCTCTGCTTGCCTGCAACTTTAACAGTGGGCAGGCCTGGCTCTGACTTGCTTTTGTTTCATCACCTCAGCCGGGCACCCCGGGAAGAGAAAAGGGGCCATTTCAGAAACATCTGGAGGGAGCCACTCTGGGCTGCTATTCGGTTACCATGGAAAAACCCGCCTTTGGAACCGGCTTCAGGAAAATAGCTACAAACAATAATGAGCATAAATGAAAAATGGTACACTGTTACCTCGAAATCGTACCTGTTACTGGACTTCATCGGGTTTTAGGGACTGAGACGGCGGGCTCCAATCCGCGAGCGCAGGGGAAGGTAGACATCACTGCCTGGCCGCAGGCCTAACGACACAGCCCACATCCTCCCTCCCACCACCCTGATCAGGTTTCTGGATGTGACCTCCAGGGAGGCATTTATCACAGGAGCTAATGTCTGAATTACGGGAGGAAGGAGGATGTGCTTGCAAAAAACCAAACATTTGCTGAGCAGACTGCAAGGCAACACACAGCCATGTGGAGGGGAACGCGGGCCAGGGTGTGACGTCACCGCGTGGGCTGTCTTCAGCTGACGCGGAACATTCACATGGGCCCGAGGTAGAAATCCTTTAAGAAATCAGGCAGCAGGAAGAGTAGCTGAGCGGGGAGTCTCTAATCTGTTTTCAGGGGTTCTTGGGGTTGGGAATGACCTTATAAAGATGACCTGGCCCAGCTCCTCCCCCAAGTGGGATTTCCATTCTCTTGGCGACGTCCTCACCAGACAACTCCTGAGTCTGTACTTGTCCTATTCTGAGAGCTGTACTGTTCCTGACACTGAGCGGAAATCGAACTCCCTGTGGCTTCTCCTCGAGAAGGAATCAGACCCCTTTTGGCAATGATAACCCTGCAGCCATCTGGAATCATTCTGCCCCCTCAGTGCTCTGCATGTGGCCAATGTTGGTGACGTCCTCATGGGTGCTCCCCTCAGGGAGTGCTCATGGCAGGGGGCGGGGGCGTCTGAGGTGGGACCTGCACCCTGACAGGGGAAGACCGTGTCGCTAATGGGGTGCTCCTAAATTATACTTCAAAAATCACTGTGTCGACGCAGGCCTGTACACTTTCCGAGCATTACGTTTATCCTGATGAGCTGCTTTTTGAAAGCAGTGAAGGAAGAAATAAATAAATAAAAGTAGCTAAGGAAGTAAAGGAAAAACGGTTATCTCGCCGGTCTACTTACTATACCAGCTGTTAGAGCAGGTATTCAGTAAATGCACCAGAGAATCCCCATTGCACAGATAAGTCAAACCGGGGTTCAGAGAAGGGGGCCGACTTGCTCACGATCACTGAGAAAGAGAATGGCAAGGCCAAGCCAAGAACACCAGCATCCCGCTCCCAGCCTCCAGACCTTCCACAGAAAGTCACTGAGCTCTGGGCACCCAAGTCCTGAGTGCCATGTCCCAGGACTGGCGCTGCTGGGTCCTCTTACCCACCCCCACCAGGGGCCATTTTCCATGTGTGCTCAAGTCAGGCCTGACATGACAGCCCAGCCCATGACATCCCCTGAATGCCACCAAAGAGGCACGGAGCTCCTCCGAAGTGGGAGAGGTAGCCCAGTGAGCATGGAGGGCCCGGGGACTCCCAGAAAGCAGAGCATTTTGCCTAGAGTGTCCAGGGCAAGGATCTGATGAGGAATCCCTTTGGGGTTCCACTGCTTTACAGAAGCTTAGAGCAAAAGGGAAGTCACAAAGAATATCAACCCATCCTAGATTTTTTCATCAACTCAGGCAGGCTCTGATTGAAGGGGAATGGCCTGCCTCGACAAGCCAGTTGTCTCTCCCAGCAGAGCAGGGAGGAGGCCACCTCCCCGCCAGACACCAGGGCACACGCAGTGGAGGGGGTGGGAGAGGAGGAGGGCCCCGAGGCCTTTTTCGGGGGCCAGGGGCTGACTCACCAGGCTATGCATGATGCGCACGCCATCGGGGTTCACCGTGAGCGCCTCCTTGTACAGCTGCTTGGCCTCCTCCAAACTGCCCTTCATCTCGGCTAGCCGGCCCCGCATGTAGAGTACCGAGTGCGAGGTGGGGAAGAGGCCCGCCGCCTCCTGGATGCAGAAACCCGCTTCCTTGAGGTGTCGCTGCTCCATGAACAGCTCAGCTGCGAAACCAGAAGGACAGTGGGAGGTGAGAGTGGTAGGAAAAGTCAGAGGCAGAGGCCCCCTCCCCGCATCCGACCATCAGACCCCAGAGCTGGAGGGTCTCAGGTGATAGGAACCATCCCTGGAGTCACGGCATGGGCCCCGCTGGCTCCGGGCTGTTGGGGCAACAGCGGGTAACGGTTTCCAAGTGCCCGCTCGGCGTCAGGCACCGTGCTACCCGCTTCGCACAGCCATGTCCGCTGACATTCCCGAAAGCCAGCACACCAAGCACGTTTATTACCCTGCTTCAGGGAGGGGGTCAGTGGGCACAGAGACAATAGGGAAGTTGCCTAAGGCCACAGGGAGAGTCAGCTGTGGGCCCGGGGTTGGCATCAGGCTGACTTCCAAGCCCGGCAGTGGGGGCACGGGTGGTATCCATAAAGGTCAGGTGGCTTTCTGCAGTGTCCCCCCACCTGACGACCGTGAGGCTGGGAGTGGGGGATGGAGGCTGATCAGGATGAGGCAGGCGTGCGCTCCCAAACAGCCCACGCTCCTGGAGATGGACAGTGGGCCAAGGCCTGCTTCTGCCAAGTGTCTTCTCTCATTTACTCCTCCCAGCAGGTGCTCTTAGGGCTCTGCACTAACAAACCAAGCTGGGGGGGGTGGGGGCGGGGATCCTCACTCCAGTCCCTCCATAGAAAGAGGCAAGGCAGCGCTGGACTCCCAGCGCAGCTCCAGCCTCCCTCCGAAGCCCAGGGCTTTCTGCTGCACCGAGAGAATGAGGGATGCCCATGCCTCTCACCAACAAGCTGGGAAGACCTGTCCCACAACCAGTTTGCCTTCTTCCCCCAGATCAATGGGGCCATCTTCGATCCCAGGCCCGCCCACGTAAGGGCACATCTCAGATCCGTGCTGCACAGGTACACGCCCACAGCACGCACTTTTTAGAAACAGGCTGGCTGGGCTGGCAGCTCAGCCTCATGGCCCACTCAGCCTTCCTCTGGTGGCAGCCCTGGGCTCGGCTGCCCCTCCGGGGGCTGGTGCCCGTGCACAGATGGGAGCACAGAAGGGCACGCAGAGCCTGGCTTGTGACTCTGCCAAGAGCTGTTCCTAGCACTGGCCAAGGGCTGAGGTCACACTAATTCAGGTGAGGTCTAGGGCGGGTGGGTAACAGACATCCCAAAAGAAGCTCCCAGAAAGAAGTGGAAAGCCAGACCCAGGCACCACGTCTTCCTGTTCCGACAAGCAGCAGGAAGGAAGCCTAAGGCCTTGACTACAGCACACGGCACTTGGGGCAGTCAGCATGAATGTTGCCTAAGGTTCATTGTGTAATCAAGTAGCTTGCCCCATCCTATAATACTACAGAGGCCTTTGAGCAAGGGAACTCTTTTTCTCTGGTGGAGATGAGAATTTGGAAGAATTAAGTAAACACAGAGGAGCCAGGCCCCCATGATCAGGCCAGAGAAAAATGCAGGCTCTTGTCCCCGTAAACAGGCTGAGCGGCACAGTCCCAAGGCAGAAAGCACGGGAAGGTGAGGCCAGGAAGGGTGGGCTTTGAGCCAGGGCCTTGCAGGGAGGGCTGGCCCGAGCTCAGGGGTTTGTGTAGCTCGGCCTAGGCTCTCCTCTGCTCTGCTGTTGTTTCCTTCTGGAGCTGCTGCTTGGGGCTCTGAGCAGGCTGCCTTCATAACTGAGGGTCCAGTGTGCAACTATTAGGTACTGACCATGTGCCTGGTCCTCCCAGGAGAAAGAGTGGAGGTGGGGAGAGGTGGGACAGCTGAGCAACCAAACTGCTGGAGTGAGCCAAGGCAATGGAGTGACACGTGCCAATTCCGAAGGGGTCAGGTCAGCTGTGCTGGTGTGGTCAGGGAAGTCTTCCTGGAGGAGGCAACATTTGAGCTGGGGCCTGAAGGTGCAGGGGCAGCTGGACTGACAGAGAGAAGGGAGGCTGTGCCAACCCAGAGGGCTGGGCTCCACCGTGACCGAACTCCCCAGGGTCACCGGAGGCGAGGGGAGAAGCAGAAGGAAGTGTGTCGTGTGAGTGTTGGGGCAGGGAGGACGCTTCCTCTACCACCAGGAGCTCAGCTCAGAGGCTAGGCCCTCCACTCCCCTGGCCCTTGTCCAGCAGGCCTGCCCCAGCTCCGGCCCACCTGCCGGCCTGCTCCTACCGTGGCTCATTAAGCTGTTTACAACTTGCCAGCCTGTCTTCTGAGTCTCTGTCTCTGGAGGCTGTTTCTGGCCTCTCCCTTGGGGACTCCTCACAGTGCCTTCATATCAACAGATTTCAATTACAGGGATCCCCACCTCCCTCTTTCCTCGGGGCCCTGGGCCTTGTTGGGCTGGCCACACACCAGAGAACATGCCCGGAAAAATAGGTAGGGCTGCTCTGGTCTGATGGACTTCATTACCAGTTAGGCAGGAAACCAGATGACACAGAACAGAGCCAGAGAAGTGAGGTCTCCTGAGGGCTCCTGGCCGCCTTGCACAGTCCCGGGCATGCTCGGCCTCCAGGGCGGGGCCCCTGACCTGCAGCTGGGCCCACAGGTCTGGGGGCTGCAGTGCACCCCTTCTTCCTAGCCTCACCGTCCCTGGGCAATTATTTTACCAAACATGGTGCTCCCCAGACAGGAAGCCTCGGCTACAGCAGGAGCCCCGCATGTGGCACCGTGCCTGTCCACTACCCCGATTTCTAGACCTCCCAGTCTTGACTGCTGGGGCCCCCAGGTACCCACCCATCCCGGCCTCCTCTCCGGCCAGGGCTGGAGGCCTGCTCCCTGTTACTGGACTTTGCTTGAATTCTCACAGCCCGGGCCACCACCCCGGCAAACAGACCTTGCTGTCCCCAGTGTCGAGGGCCCCTCTCCCATCCCCTCAGCGCCTTCTCTCTCCCTCCATCCCGATTTCCCCACTTCTCTCATCTTCTGTCTGCCTACCCATGACCTCCCCTCCTGCCTCTGTGTCTCAGCTTTTCTCCCTCTTCCGTCCATCTCTCTCCACCCGCCCCCCTCTGCGCTTCTCTCGGCAAGCTCCAGATGGAAAACATCTGTTCCCTGGAGCTTTGCAACAGTCCCTTTTATTATTTTTTTCTGAGGCATCCTGATCTAACCCTGCACCCAGAGCCGGTTCCAGTCTTTCTGCCAGAGCCAGGCCCCACCCCACCCCCAGGTTGGGGGATGAACTCACTCTTCATGGGCTATTTGCACACCCTCTTGGCAGGGAGGACCTTGCTCCGGGGGCTCCTCCTGAGCTGAGGGGCAGGATGAGGGAGGGCCCAGGGTCAGGTCTACCATCTTTCAGGGGCCTCCCCACGTGAGAGGTGCTTCCTAGAGACCTTCCATGAGACCTCAGAAAGGAGGGGCACCCAGGCTAAAAGCAGAGACACCTCAGGGAGAAGCTCAGGAAAGAAGTTAAGGTTAGGCCCTTAGCTAGCCTTGAACCCCAGAGGGGATCACCAGAACTGCCCCCTAAAGGACACAAGCGTCCTCCCCATGGAGCAGACCTTCAGGACATACGGACACCCAGAATAAAGGAGAAGGAAGAGAGGCGGACAAGGAAGGAGTGAGAGAGGCGGCCAGGGAACCAAGAGAATAACAGAGAATTAGAAGGTCTAAAGCCATTCTGCAGGTGGTCTGAGACCCCCCCACCTAGGGACTCAGAGAGGGGCCCGATTTTCCCCAGGCCACAGGGAGTCAAGGCTGCAGGGCCTGCGCTCGCAACTTCCCGTCCCCGAGTGATCTCCTCAGTGACTCGGCAGCTGGGAGCAGGGAGTGCCGGCAGAGGAGGGAAGAAGAAAAAGCCAGAGCAAGGGAAGAGGGGACGTGGGAAGAAGGCACAGAAGGCAGGAGGGAGAAGGGTGGGGAGTTGGGACAGAGGGGAGCGTGAGGAAAGATAAAGAAAGGGATGAGAGATGAGGGAACAAAAGCACAAAAGGAGCATGCAGGACCACGGGCAAGGCAAAGCTTCTCCCGTGACTGTATTCTTTTTTTTTTTTTTCTTTTGGAGGGGGAGAGAGAGAGAGAGAGAGAGAAGGGGTGGGGGAAGGGCAGAGGGAGAGGGAGAGAGAGAATCTCAAGCAGGTTCCATGCCCAGGCTGAGCTGACACGGGGCTCGATCTCACAACCCTGAGGATCAGGACCTGAGCCGAAATCAAAGGTCGGACACTTTAATGTCTGACTGAGCCACACAAGTGCCCCTCCCTTGACTGTAATTTTATAATGAAGATGATCTTTAGACACGGCCCTGGCCACCCCATCCCAGTTCCCCAGTCTGCGCAGCTCACAGCTGGGCAGCTTTTACCTACCAGTGCCCAGGGCCTCCTGAGGACTGTCCCACAGGTGGTCCCCGTTCTGAGATGCCTTGGGCAAAGGTGCCTATCTTACAGGCCTGCTGGGCACAGATTCAGCCCGGACCAGGGGGTGTACTGGCTTGTGCTTGATGCATCTGTTTAGCAGCTGGAGCTCTGTGCCCAGTGCCCAGATACTGTGAATCTGCCATTTGGAAGCTGAGACTCAGGCCAACTTCCCCTGACTGAGTGAAAGCCCATGGCCGCCTAGGAATCCCCTGGTCCTCCAGGACAGGGGAACCCTTCCCTACATCTATCTCCCTCCCCCCAGCACACTGTTAGCTCCCAGAGACATGAGCTGCAGTGAGAGAGGGAGGTGGGCCATCTTGCTCTTCCAAAAGGCACCTCTCAACACGCAGGATGTGGGGACATCTGTGAGGCCTTGTGCCTCTCCCATTGTCACACAGACCCGCTGTCAAAGAGGCAACATTCCCGGAACTCATCTCTCAAGGGGAAGCCCCCCTGTGATGCTTGTCACATCTGACTGGAATGGGTGAAGGCCTGGAGAGGACAGGAGGAGAAGAGTTGGGAGAGGAAGGATACCATTTCCCAAACCAAGGGGGGTTACTGATGGAGCCGCAACAGCCCGGGGTGTAATTTATCCTGAACAAAAGCTGGGGGACGAGCTCCTTCCAAAATGAAAAAGGAGGATGTTCTTCCTTTCTGCACATTGGCTGCAGCTGCTGGAATCATTAGGCGGGGTGGATGGGGGTGGGGATGCTGGTGACGATACTCTCAGCCTGGGTCAGATTGGGGGTGAGGTTAGGGAAAAATTTTTGCCTCGGTGATTTGGTCCTGGCAGCCCTTCATTCAGTAAGTGCTAGGCACATGCTTGCTGCTGATGCTGACGGCTTATGGTGTGCAGACTGCTCCGGAATCCTCCCATGCTCGGAAGGGAAAACTTGGGACACTTTACTTCCCTTTCGGGCTGTGGTGGCTGTCCCTCAGTCTCTTCTCCCTTTCTCCGATAATGACAGAGCCCCTGATTTTTCATGAGGCATACGGACAACCAGGACAGTGACATTTCCCAGAGTCCTTTGCAGCTAGGTGTGGTCATGTGACTAAGTTCTGGCCAATGGATCATGGCGGGGACTGATGTATGCAAATTTCAAAATATGTCCTTACAGAGAGGGGGTGTCCCCTTCTCCCACTCTCCCTGGTTATGCCTTGGAAGATGAACGTGATGAAGAGCCATGATGGGTCACAGGGGTGAGAGTAACACTCCACGGAGAACAGGAGCAACAAAATGGAAAGAACCTGGGTTCCTGGACCGGGAAAGCGGAGCTGTCATCCCAGTCAAGGGCACCATCTCTGAACTGTTTCAAAAGGACAACAAAGTGTCTACTTTGCAGAAGTCACTGCCATTTTGGATCAGTCACATACACCCAAACCTGTCTCCTAATGCCACACCGCCCAACCCTCACCTGGCACCACATTCAAAGCATTCAGATTTTCAGGTGCCTGGGTGGCTCAGTTGGTTAAGCGACTGCCTTCGGCTCAGGTCATGATCCTGGAGTCCTGGGATCGAGTCCCACATTGGGCTCCCTGCTCAGCAGGGAGTCTGCTTCTCCCTCTGACCCTCCCCCCTCTCATGTGCTCTCTGTCTCTCTCATTCTCTCTCTCTCAAATAAATAAAATAAAATCTTTAAAAAAAAAAAAGCATTCAGATTTTGTTCTCAGAGTTCTCTGGGGGCTGAATATCTAGGATAATGTCCAGAGAACAAAGGCTAATGTGCAAATTACTGAAGGGCATATTTATACTGATAATTCCCAAGCCTGCTTACAAGTTTCATGAAGGCCATGAGTTAACCATCCCTGGAGTTACCAGAACATACTAGCACCCTGAGCATAAAGCTGTATACCTGAGCAATGGAAAGCAGGCTTGTGAAGTGCAAACACGTGTTCATTTGCTGATGGTAGCAGACAACATGCATCAGTAAAATTAAGGCCTTGCTAGCTCCAGAGTAGGCAACGCACAACTCCAGGATCTGATCACCGCGTTACTGATCCACATGGTGAAGGCCCAGTGTGGGTACAGCCTTCTACCCCAGGCACATGGAGGGGGCTGGGGCTCCAGTGTGCCCCCTGGGAGCCATGCTGGCTCCATGTGTTAGAAGAAGGGGGCTCTTTGCCTAAGGAGAGGCCTTGTTTTGTATCCCTCTGGCGTTTCAACATTCCTCTCGCTACTTAGGATGCAACAAGCTGGCTGGGGAGCAGGGCCCTCACACATCCCTAGCCTCCTGAGGGACCCTGATATGCTAACTGGGGCAATGTCTGCATTATTAAAATGCTTCCCTGTTTAGCCTGTGCATCCGGATCCAATTTCTCCCCCCAAATTCAGAACCTCTGGTGGGTGGGGGGGGGGGGGGGGAGTACGGCATGCTAATGGGGCCATATGTGAAATCCAGGCAGCGGGAAGCCTCAGATCCCCAGTGAACCATTTTTAGCCTCTGACTTGCAGTGTCCGCTCGGCTCAGGAACTTTCTACCTGCAGTCTCTTCTGCGTCTCCCCTGGGGGGCTGTAGGCGCCAGCCCCCGGGGAGAGATGGGCACCCATCAGGGTAACAAGAAAACAGGGGAGGAGTTTCACTGAGCACCTACTATGTGCCCCACACGGCACTGACCGCTTTACTCACAATCAGGACGGGCCGTAGGGGGCTGGCATTAGAACCCAGCCCTGTGTGATCCTGAAGCTGCCCGTGTCCCCAGCAGTAACTGACCCTCACATTCCATGGTGGCAACGGTGCCAGTTACCTATCAAGAGGGACTGTCACCTGAACGGCCCCCTCGGTGTTACCAGCCCTCCGCCATTGCTGAACTACACCACCAGACCTCCCCTCTTCTCTAGCCATTCTGTGAGCTCTCTGGGGCTTGAGCTAGTTTTACTAACTAGTTTTACTCAGGAGAGGCTGGGCAAGAAGGACGGACAGGGCCTGTCTTTGAGACTAAGAAGGCTATCCATCTGTGTGGTCTTTCCTCAAATCTGCTCACATTCGTATTTGCTGCCAGAGAGCCTCCCCAAGGGTGGGCAGGCAGGCAGGCCCTGTCCCCATGCGGTGGAGAAGGAAACCCACAGCCAGAGAGATGAAGCGACTCTTCTTGGGCCAAGCAAAAAAGAAAGAGGTGGAACGAGAGCTCCAGGTTCCTGATCCCCAGGCCTTTCCGTGAGTACTGCAGTCTATGCAGGCCTTGTCAGGGGTCTTCACAGCCCCACACACCCTCCTCCAGGGCAGGTCACAGCTCTGTCACTGGGGCCAGGAACACTCACCAGCCTGGAGCCAGATCTGTTCCAGCGTGGTCCACAGCTGCATGGGGCCCTGCTTCAGGACGGAGCTGGGCACAGTCAGCTCTGACATGGCCTCCTCCAGCCGGGAGGCTGCGATGGATGATGCCCGCCGAGAGCCTGCAGAGCAAGAGGGGAGGCGGCTGAGCAGTCGCAAACCAGCTCATGGGCGCACTGGGAAGGGCCCTCCTTGTACCCTCAGTCGTGGCTGGCATGAGGAGCTTAGGAGGGGCAACCAGGCAGCAAGCCCACTCCTAGGAGTCTATCACTGAAGAAGACAGTCCTAAATGTTGGCAAAGGTGCCTGGAATACTAAAAACAGAAATGACCCGCATGTCCAACAACGGGGAGTGATTCAAAATACGTGTGGGTATCATCATCCAAGACCCCGTGGCCATCACACTAACGGCTCAGAAATACGGAGATGGATGCCGAAGGATGCTCACAGCACAGTTAGGTGAAAAAAAAGCAAGCTGGAAAATGGTACGATCACATTTTTCTAAGAAAGAAATAGGGGCCTGGGAAAAAGGTCTGAAAGGCCATTATTAAGGTCTGGGTGGTAAGACTGGAGGATTTTTCTCTTCTCCCTTCTCTTTGCTTTCTGTTTTCACAGGTGCGTATTATTGCTTCTTCTATAGGAAGGTCCCTTTTGAGGCTGCGCTGTGCTAAATCCCTGAGTAGCAGGGGCTCGGGCCGGACCCTGTGTGCTCTGCCCCGTGGCAGTTCTGGGTGACTCGGGTCCCTGCTCAGGATATATAAGCCATAGACATTTACGCTTCACATGCAGGTGAAACGCGAGCACTTTTTTTCCTCTCTCTCTCTCTCAGGGGCAATAAAGGCTCCAATCAACTCAGGAGACCTCGGGGCACACCACAGATGGTTTCAGTTTCTGAGCCGAGCACACGTGGAGCCCTAATCATTTGTTCATGGTTCGTCTCCCCTTCTCTGCGAGGGCGCCAAGCCCTCCTTCACCGTTCCCTCTTTGGAGTCAGCAGCTCCACAGTTAGCCCAGTGGCCCTCGGATGTGCCTGGAAGTCAGGTGCGGGCCAGGCATGGGCAGTCAGCTCCATCACGGACGACAAAGGTGCAACTCGGCTCACGTCCACAGAAGTGGACCGAATAAGCAATGCCACTAAATACAACTCCCTCACACTCTGTTCCTGTGACTAGTTCTTTCTGCGCCTCTGCTCTTCTGCTTTCATCAGTCCTCATTTGAAATAGTCCACTCTGGGCTTAGAGTTGTAAACTGACGCTCAGCTCATTCCTTTCTAATTGACTCTGTCTACTAAGGACACTTTAGTGGTAGACCCTAAAGGAGGGTGGATAGGTAGACCTAAGGGAGACAGTTTCTGGGCTCTAAAGCTGTCCCTCCGCCCTGGCTCTCCTCTCTGCAACCGCCCCCCGCCCCTTGCCTGCTTCAGCTGCTCACTTTCCACCCCAGAGCCAGGATGGGTGGGAAGGTGCCAGAAAGGTGCCCAACGGCAGCTCCTTAGCTCCTCAGCACCAGGCTCTGGGGCTGCAGCTGGCTGAGAGCGGGGTGGTTTTGGCCAGGCCAGGCAGATGCCACTCTCCCCGTTCTTGCTCAGGCTGGGACAGTGAGCTGTGGACCCACATGGACAGCTGCCCACGGGCACGTTCTTACCGGAGTCTGCGTCATGGGCATCGGGCAGAGTCAGGTGCATGCCGCTCTGCTTCTTCAGGGTGACGCCCTCGCCGAGGCTCCCATCCTTTTCCAGGCCTCTGAAAGGCAAGGTAAGGCCAGGCCCCGGTGAGGTGGAGGGCCGGCAGGGAGAATAAGGGAGCCTCACGCAAGGCAGGCTCCGGGGCTGAGAGTTTAGGCCTGGGAACGGAGTCAAAGCTGGGACCACTAGGAAGGATGGAGACCACCAGAGTGGCAGAACAGATCAGAGCTCAAGCTTGGGGTTCTAGAATCTGGCTCACTCTAGCAGCTACAATGATATGCTGTGAATCCCCAGCACGTGCATGCGCGCGCGCGCGCACACACACACACACCCCCCCCCGCCACTGTGTGCCCGTGGGGTTGTCAGTCTCCCTGCTATTCCTTAATGCCACCACATTTCATCCCCACAGCTAACATTTACTCATGCTGCTGCTGCCAAGAACGTTCTCGCTGTTCTTCTGGTCCACCCCCAACCCTCCATCCTTTACAACTCAGCCCAGTGCCCTTCACCCATCCAGACAGCCTCCTGTGGCTCCGGGGCCCCGCACGGCTGCCTCCTCCCTTGCCCTCCGTCAGCATGCAGCCAGCAGAACGTGGCTCAGAAACTCTCCCTCCTCTGAGGTGCGTGATGCTAGAAGCTCCCCCAGGCCAGCAGGAGGTCTCTGCTGCCTTTTGCTGCCCTCACAATGTCTAGCAGAGTGCCAGGCAGAGTGCGGGCCCCAAGGTCTGGCTCCCAAGGAAAGCCTGGTCTTCATGGGCCACCAGAAATGCCCCCAGCCCACCCCCCAGGGAAGGAAGCCCCAGATGCGCTCTGCCTCAGGTCACCAGGGTGGCCCCAAAAGAGCCGGCGGGGGGTGCCTGGGGTGGCAGATAAACAAGCATGGTAGTCTCCCCAGGTCCTTGAGGCTCCCACACTGCTAGAGAGGTTCCTCTTTTCTCAGACTGGGAGGTGGGGGAGCCTCCAGCTCAGAAAGGCTGCACAGCCCCAGCCACCCCTGCCCATTTCTGGGGTTGCCCTTGAACCTGCTAACTGGGGAAGCTTCGAGAAGGCCAAAGTGGAAATGGCAGGAGAGAAGGCAAGCCCAGCCTGGGGCCAGAGGCTTCTTCCCTTCACCGGGGTGCCCAGACGATGGTCCCACCAAGAATGCCAGGGCCCCGTCCTTGCCCATTTAAACTCGGGCTCACACTGGCTTGAGCTGGGGCCTGCAGGTGCACGGCCATCTTGTAGACATTAGAGGAAACCTTCCACAAAACACAGTGGGCCCAGGTTGGTGCCTTTCCTCCCCACCCTCCTCCACTCCTGGGAGGCACCAGAGTTCAGTGCCGAGGAGCCAGAGACGCGGGCCACCCCTCCTCGGCTGTGTGACCCTCAGCAAAGCTACTTAGCCATTCCAAGCCTTAGTTTTCTCATCTTGTTATTGTGTGCCGTAATAAATAGGGGAAGTTGGTCTCACGAGGTTTCCGTGAGGAGTACCGGAGGCAGGTGGGACAGCTTCTTGTCCCACCTGCCCTCCCAGCCCCCGACAGGGACACCCCTAGGGCTCCGGAAACAGCCCATCTCAGGGACCTTTTGCCACTTGGGTCTAGGCCATCATACAGCATCGCTCCTGCCCTGAAGAACCCGGTGGCCAGGTGGGGAGGAGAGTCCATGATGAGCACTTAGAAAGACCTAGTTCAAGAGGGTTGAGCTGAAGCGTCAGAGGCTGGGTGCCTGCAGGCTCCGCGAAGGCAGGCATCTGAGCAGGGCGGAAGGGGTGTGGGCTGGCCTGGGAGGAGCTGAGGAAGGACTGTGGGGGGGGGGGGGGGAGGTTGGGGGGGATGGTAGGCCAGACCTTCAGGCTGTGGATTCTGGCCTCTGGCCTCAGCTGCCCCAAACCAGATTTCACAAGTCCTAGTTTCTGCTCTGTGGCTCCAGGTTCAGAAAGAATGCCCCCCTTCCAGGGAAAGCCAAGAGGATATAGGATCCTGCCCTCTGGTCCTAGCAATTTGACTCCAGATAGCTGGCCCGGCTGAGCCCTACCCTGCCCTGGGTGGGGAGCTATGGGAGGTTCCCCAAAAGAGGTGCCTAGGGAACCTAGGAGGAGCTCCACTGGGCCCTCATATCAGAGATGAGTGTGTGAGTGGTGACTTAAAATGACCTCAGCGTGAACCTACAGCCCCAGGCTCTGTGAGAACAGATCTGCTGCCTGGACGGGAGGCACAGGGCAGGGGCCCACATGCCGGGAGACAGGGCCGCAGCTCAGAGGGGCCCTGCCAAGACCACCTGGATGAGCAGGCAACCCACCATCCAGCCAAGAGGAAAGTTCCTGCCACCTCCAAGGACAGCTCCTCTCCGTAAGGGGAGCCAGACTGTAGACCTGCCCAAGTGGCTGCAGCCAGTGAGCGGCTGAGCAAGGAGCATCTCAGGGCAGGTCCCCCTCACACCAGAGTCTGGGCCTCACCCACACACCACCCAGTGGCCAGACAGCTCCCCATTCCCTTTCTGAAAAGTCCCTCAGCCCAGAGCCTCCTTCTGGCAGCTTCCACTCACTGGGTCCTGCTCTGCCCTGGAATCTCCCAGGCCTTTCAAAGGCCTTCAAAGAGAGGCAGACCCAACTTTGCCCAAGGGTTTTAACCCCGGTGGACTACCGTGGGGCCTCCTCTGTAAATTTCACCATTAGAGAGACATGCCTCTGGGGACTGTGAAAGCCTTCTGGGCTCCCAGAGTCCCTGTGAAAATGCAAACACATCTACCAGAGGGGGGTCTTCTGGGAGATGACACAGCTAGCAATTTCAGGGAAGGGGAGGGGGTGAGCACCAGGGAGCAGGACAATGCAGTGCAACCTGCCTGGCACAAGGCTCTTTCCTGCTTTGGGCTACAGTGTCTGAGGGGATTTGAGCAAAGACTTTCAGCAGCTTCAACCTGGACAAGAGTGCCTAGTCTGGCCCAGGAAAAACCTGGAGCCCAGGTTGGGGACTGGGGTAGGAGACAGGATGCGTGGAGACGGTGGGTGAGTCGGGGGTGGGGTGAGGAGGTGGGGCAGGCCCTTCAGGAACTCAGCTTCCTCTTCCTCTTCTAGATTCCAAATGGAGCCAGGAAGAAGCGCCGGGCTCAGAAGGGCTGGGACTCAGGGACCCAGGTTCAAGCCCCAGCACGACCATTTACCAGGTGAGTGACTCTGGCAAATTCTAGAAGGTCTCGGAGCCTTAGTTTCCCTCCTGGGCTGAAAATAAAGTCTGACAGCGTTTTAAGATGAGCGGCCATCCCAGCGCCTGACCCAGATGCTCAATACTGACTTCCTTCTTACCCCTCTGAACTTGGGCTTCCTGAGCAGCGTCTTTCTGTCCTCACAGAGGACTGTCAAAAGGTTAAAATTAGCCTACGGATGTAAAAGGCCCCAGAAGCAGCAAGGAGCACACTCTGATTCAAATACCGTCACCAGCCCCAGGCATCACGGCCACTCGGCTGTGGGCTGTTGCCTCGGCAGCTGCCACCCGCCAGTGCCGCCCTCCACCCTGGCAACCCCAGGGATGATGACAGCCACTCACCCCATCTGGGAGAAGCTGTACAGCGTCTGCCACAGCCGCAGCATTTGTCTGCAGGTCACGAGGGCTTCCTCCGGGCCTTTCAGTACCTGCTCCAGCTTCACCTTGGTGAACATCAGGCTGCGGGGCGGGACAGAAGCAGTTAGCATGAGCCTGGCTTTCCTCCCAGGTCAGAACCCAAGGGATTCTGCCCCACCATTCTGCCGGTCCCCCTCATCCACTTGGCCTCCCGTCGCAGACCCTCCTGCCCCAGCCTCTGAAGCACTGCCAAGTGTGGCTACGAGTCTTCTTTGTTTGTTCTTCCTTCCCACACCCACAGTATGCACCGTCCTCAATGAACATGTAGCCATCCTTGTATTTGCACGCCCCACAGGGCCCCAATGGGCCCTGTATACCAGAGACAAACCCAAAAGGCAACTCTTAATCCAGGCAAGAAGCTAAGCAAGGAACTGGCAAAGAAATGTCCCCTAAGGGCAACACACAGTAAGTGCTCAATTAACATCTCCTCAGTTGAACTGCAGACTGTTTCCTGACCCTGGATACATGAGGACAGTCATGTGCTACTTTATCAAAGAATTCTTCACTGGATTTCCGAAAATAGCCAGCTCCCCTTATACGTGCAATAGGATTAAAGTGCCACCAGATCCTATCCGGTCACCATTGAGAACACAGTCGCTCTGTAAAGGGAGAGAGCAACCTCACAGTCTCTTTTAACCAGAAAACTGAGAGTCCTCTGAGGTCAGGATGGTGTGGGATGTGGGGATGTGGCCCCGATGGGGGCTGGGAGGAGAGGGAAGGGGCCGGCCCCCCCAGAAGGCAGGACCACAGGAGGGGGGCCGACTACTTCCTCTCTCTGCCCTGGACACAGGGAGACCATCAGAACACTGCTCATCAGAACCAGGGTGGGGGCCCTGGGCATCCTGCCGTGCCAGGTTTTGGCCCTTTAGTTGTCGGGGAGTACGGGGGCCCGGGGGAGGGAGGGTCAGTGCAGCTGGGGACACTCAGGAAATTCAAGGCAGTGGCGGTTTACTAACGGCTATGGAAGTCCTGCATTCTTTATACCGTGGGTCCTGCCAGGCGCACTGATGCACACCAGCTGCCTGGGCAGCAGTGAACTTGGCTGAGCCGCTGAGGCCCAAATAAGGCTGTGACTCTGGTTCTCACTGGGTGGTGAGCAGTGAGACCCTTTCATCCTGGCATCGCTGTTGGACAAACACACGTGACTGTCAGGCCCTGTACTTGATCGCTGCTTGGTGGTTCTGCTGGCCCATGTGAGGCTGGCACACAGGCCCTCACAGAGGCTGAGTCCTGCATCCACACAGCGCGCATCCTGTGATCTGAGGCTGCAGACACCGTACGGGGAGGCCAGCCTCCGATTGGGAGCTTTCCCCTCTGACCTTCTCCCTTACTCGGAACCCCACCCCCCACCCTCCAGCCTCACCTCTCCATGTTCATCCCCCCTCAAGTCTGACCTTAATTCCACCTTCCCAGATGCTCAGGACGCCTTGTGCCCTTCTTAAAACATCTGCTAATGAATTGCCCAGCTGGCCTACAAAGTCCTAAGGGTAGAAAGCATGGTCCCCACAGCGTGGACCTCACAGGCCTGGGCAGGAATGTGGTCTCTGCATCCTGGTGGGCAGCTGCTGGGGAAAACGGGCCCTGCCATCCCTACTCTCCCTTCCTGGATTCTCGAAGGGTCCCAACACTCTGTAAGTATTAGGAGCCTCTACTTTAGGAATCTGGAGTAGAAGACACAATTTCAGCCTTCAAGGTAACCACTGGTGCTAAAAATGACAAAAGTGCCCAGATAATCAGGTGATCACAGGTGGTAATCAGGTGGGTCAGATTCAATGCACGGAAGGTAGAGATAAGAGATCCTGCTGGGGCTGGTGTGTGATGAAAAGGAGGGTGGGGTGGGGCAGGGTTGGGAGTTGGGGGAGAGCGGTGAAGAGTTGGGAAGGGGCGGGGAACCAGACGCTGGAGCAGCTGCTGCTGAGGAGTGAAAACCCCTTCCTGCAGACACGGGGAATATCCAGGCTCAAGTCAAGTCAAGAACATCTAGGCAGGGCCTCTCAGGGCTGGGCTAGGCTGCTTCCTGGGACAGTTCCCGGGGCAGCCCAGCCCAGAAGCACTCCCCTGGCACTCCATGTCCCCCGACATGCCTCCTCTTCAGCTCCTCTCTGCTAGGCCCCTTCCCCCTCCTGCTCCCTGTGTCCCAGAGAGCCAGCATGAGCGGCAGACCCGACCACACCATGCACCTAGAAGTGGCTGCAAGCTGAGCTGGCAGTGACTTCTACCAACACAGGCTGTCATCCTCGCGGCTGCTGACATTCCATGACCATGAGTGACCCAGCGTGGACTTTCTCAACCAAAGCACATCCTTTCGGGGCTGCGGCAAGCGCTCCAACAGGCAGTCACCCTCTGGTCGGATCCTTTGCTCCCGGATCCTGGATCCTGGGAGGCTCCAGATTAGCTCCTGAGATTTCCTTAGTCTCACAGCTGAGCACTGCCAAGAGGGATCTTCCTCAACAAAGAAAGCTGCCCGGACTGTCCATGACATCAATCCAAATGCTTCTGTGCAGCGACCTTCCATTCCTGCCACTCCTCCCGATGCCCTTGGGCGCCCGGGTGCCACTCATATGGGTATTAGCAGCAACCTGAACTGGGGGACAGGCTCCTAGACTCATCTGTGCCCTGCTGCACGTCATCGCCCTTGCTGGGGACACACCCTTCCCCTCCAGCTCCTAAGCAGAGGTCACCCTCGGGCCTTCCGTATGTCCCCATGGGGGCTGTACACACACCCCTCCAGGATACTCTTCACTATGGCGGACTTGGTCATCTGCACACCTGCCGGCATGCCTCTAGTTCACCACTGGGCTCCCTCCCCTCCCCTCCCCTCCCCTCCTCTGTCGAAGTACAGGCTCCCTCTCTATCCTGTGTGCCGGGACGCACGGGGGGCCTGGTTCTTCCCACAATAGTACGACAAGGCTGGCCAAGCGCTGGTGGGCCACTGTGGCCGGTGGGCAACACTTCCCAGCCCACGCAACACACCGGAGCCTCACCGAACACGGTGCTTCCGGGCAGGGCTTCGGGGAAGCTGCTGGCCATGGGGGCCGGGGGATGCGGGGGGCAAGCCTGGGCTCCCCACCCCTTCAACCAGCCCAGCCCCTGGCAGGCCTGTTTCATATACCGAATGAATCTAAAACATCATTTGAAAAAAAGATTCTGAGACTTTAAAAAAACCCACTGTCTTAATTCAGTGGTTCTAGTCCTCCTCAGAGAAGCCCCAGCATGACCACCGCTGCCCTTCTCTGAATAGTCAGGAGTCTTTACTTGGCACTTAATTACATAATCTGTATCTCTAGATATTATCTATTTATGTACATTATCTATATACTCATCTTTTTGCCACATAGGCTTATGAGTCTAATCACGAAGATACATTCCTATCGAGCATTTTTAAATTCAGATAATCTAGAAACAGTCTGTGGCCAGTCCTGCCTACAGATGGGAAAAGCACCATCTATTCTGTCCTGTGTCCTGCCACGCATCCCCACCTGGATGGCAGGGACTCGTCGGCCAGGGCCCTGCTTCCCGCCACGTCAGGGTCCTCCCCGTCTCTCCAGGGCCCGGCACAGAGGTGAGCATGTGAGCAGTGTCTGCTTAGTTCTGTGAAGATGTGTGTTGGTACGATCATCTGGCCACATTCAGGGTCTCGCAATCCGTGTTAAATCTGATTTCTGACACCACCACTTCCCACTGCTGGGTCCTGCTTAGGAAGGAGGGGAGGAATCTGCTCGATGCCTCATCACTGCAGAGTGGGTTATGGTGTCTCACAATGAGCAAAGTGCTGGCTGAGTCCGTTCTTAGCTGTCTGGAAGCCAAGTCTTTCAGGGCCTGGGGAGGAGCAGGGGGAGTTCTGGGCAGGACGTGAAGGCGTCTGGCTCCTTAGGACTCGGGGTCTTCATCGAGGAGGACAGTCACCCGGGCAGAGCCAAAAGCACAACCAAGGAGTGTCCCTGAGACCGGAAGGCCTGGGATATGGGCCCCTATGGGCCCTCTCACAACCTGACAAGAGCCATTCTGGGAGAGGGACGGCCACACCACTGACCCTACATGGTGATGTCGTTCAGAGTGGATGCGCACTGGCCCAGAGTGAGAAACCCGAGCCAAAGTCCCAGCTCCACTGTCACCCAGCAGGGCATGTCACAGGTTCCAGTGAAATAGGAGTGATGTCTCCCACCAGATGAACTGCAATGACCTAAACACAGCCGCTGAGAAACGCACAGCTGCACTCAGTCCTCAAGCACAGGCCGGCCCTGAGGCTGGGGAAAGGGACTCCTGCTCCTGAACTGCAGGCCTAGCAGACCCGGCAGAGCGGTTTCTAGGCCTCGTGCCTTGGAAGGCTCTCAGAAAGCCCCCGACCTCTGGGGCCTGTTTGGCAAGGCAGGTGGTCCTCGTGGCTCCTGGGGCTGAAGAAGGGTGCAGTGGAGGGGGTGGATGCAGGCCCAGCCGACTAGGCCCAGGTGAAGCAGCCGTGGCCGTAACCCCCTCTTGTGGGCACTTTCCTGTTTGTTAAGCTGTGGAGGCCCGTGTGGAATAAACACCGAGGTCTTACAGGACTGAGGGCCCTTCCCACGCCTTGCATCCGAAGGCAGATGTGAAAGTGAGTGTTCTCTCTGGGGAAGAGGAAGGAGCAAGAGTCCATGTAAACACACCATGTGCTCTGTCCCGCCCCAGGGGGGAGGCTGCTAGGGCTACCGAAGGAGTCCTGGGTCCTGGATTCCACAGTTCCGTCCAATCGAAGTGGCAGTGCACCCTGGTCCTCGTAGGGAGGCCCAGTGAGGCCACAAGGCCACTCTCCAGGAGCTCACGCCCTCCCTAAGAATGCCACCAGAGCTTGGGTAGTCCACTCTGGCCACCTCATGCCCAGGTTCGGGGCTCCCTCAGCCACCGTCCCCACCACACACTCATCCACCGCGTGCTCTGGTCAAGGCGGGGACCTGCCACCTCCTGCGTCACCTGCACTGTCCAGCACCCTGGGGGCACAGGCAGGCACTCGGCCCACCTGAACAGGACCAGCCCCTGCTAGACCATGAAGCACCTCAGCCTTGCGGGGT